TAAGCTACCCAAAGTCACCCAGGTGGAGTTTGCTTAACTCCAGGCTGGGTTCTCATCATGTACTCTGACCTCATTTTGATATTAGAGTCTTGAAGTGCTCCTGACCCACAAACAACAAACATACAAGAAGCACATATATGCCGCTCCTTACCAGCTCCTACGTATCTCCTCTCTTCTGGAGCCCCAACTGTTTGTGTGTGGAAAGTCAAATTAGAACATTTAAGGCTGGCCTTGAATGAGTATTTTCAGTATTGAGAAGAGAATAAGCTCTAATAAAGGGCACAGCTTAGCTAACAATGGCGATTTATTTGCCAAAAATATTTTGCCTTGAACTGTCTGAATTTTTTATATTGATACTGCCTACAACATCATCTTGTGAGGTTTACTTGTATTTATAGAGCTTTTCTTTTTTCTTTTTAAAGAAACTATCTCTGTGCTATGTAGTTCATATTATAATGTAAATTACTTTAGTGGGATTGCTTTCTTCCTAATATGCCTCTTTGAAACCAGTGAAAGTGAAAGGGCTAGTCACTCAGCTGTGTCCCACTCTTTGTGACTCCATGGACTGGAGCCCACCAGGCTCCTCTGTCCATGGAATTCTCCAGGCAAGAATACTGGAGTGGACAGCCATTCCCTTCTGCAGGGGAACTTTCCGACCCAGGGATTGAACCCAAGTCTCCCACACTGCAGGCAGACTCTTTACCGACTGAGACACCAGGGAAGACCTGAAATCAGTGAAAGGATCTTAAAAGACAAGAAGCCTGGGAGAAGAGGTGTCAAGTGCTCCACTAGGTACCTACAAAGAAGGATAGAAACTGTTTTCCTTTCTTTTGCTCCATTGTACCCTGACCGTAGAACACTAAATGGATTAATATGAACTCCTGGTTCGTATCTGAAAAATTATGGGAAATTTATTGACTATATTACTTAATTTTAGAGAGATAAACACGAAAACAAAATTTTAGGTGCTAAAATAGGGATAAGATATTTCTGTGATAATTTCATGGGAACATAAGCACCAAAAGAGAGCATTTTTTTTCTACAGGAAAATAAACTTTGATTTCCAAATAAACACAGTATCAATAAACTAGAGTTTCCCTGTTGAAATCTTACGGACTACCTCTTAAAAAAAATCCTCTGAGTTCATTTAGAAACACTAAATATGGCTAATTTAAAAAGCAAACATCATATACTTAAATAAATATTATCAAATTCTCCATATCAATTTTCAGATATATATGTATATATATATAAACTGTTTATCAATTATTGTTAATTATTGTAATTATAGTACTCATGGAAAGGTAGTTGGCTTATGCTGAAGTATAACTGACATTGTTAAATCTAAGAAATCACATTCTTCTGAACCAATGGGGAGCAGAGAATATTGGTTTTAAGTTGATCCTTAAATTTCTTTGAGAGTAGAATAGGTGAATCACATTTAAGCTGGGATAAAGAGAATGTAATAGGCACAAAACAGTGCACAGGCTGGCTACATAGTTAAATTCTGTTTTGAGGGTTAAAGTCCTGAGAATTCATCCACTGATTGAATAGGAATCATGTGTGCACCTGGATTTGATTAATTAATTAATTAATTAATTAACTAGCTCTTATTAAATATAGGATGTCTACTTATAAATTTCCTAATATATTTAAAATATACTTAGAAAGACACTAGTTTTAAAGGCACTGTTCTTTGGGTACTTTCAAAGTGAATTACTAAGGAGATATTTTATAAATTAGTAATACTTGTTTACAACTATCAGTGCAGAACACTTGAGAAATTCAGGAAGGCAATGCCATTTAAAACATGAAATATATAGTTTTTTAAAAATCTTCATTAACAATTATATCCCATCATAACTTCTTCATAGTTTCACTAGAATTTCAGGAATCATAGCTCAGAGGTACAGCACATGCTCCATGGCTTTTGAACTTAGTTATCTCAAAATTGACGAGATTAGCTACAAATAATATTTTCCATGATTTAATGTGAATTGGTGTAGATTACTTAATATTTCTATCTATAGCTTAGTTCCCTTCCTTATTAAATGATGTTTTCAAGAATGAGTTAATATATTGAAAAGAATACTGGAGCGGATAGCCTATCCTTTCTCCAGGGGATCTTCACAACCTAGGAATTGAACTACGATCTCCTGCATTGCAGGTGGATTCTTTACCAACTGAGCTATCAGGGAATCCCAACATACTGAAGCACATAGGTCAATAGCAAATATTTAGTTGGTACTCGTTAATCAAACAAGGAAGAAAAGAATGGTAATATAGGGTAAATATCCCTAGTTAAAAAGAGAGGGATGCTGTTGAAAATTTTAATCTAAAGAATTGTTAGTATGGAAATGAATAATAACTAAGTCTATACATGCACTTGACTGAAAAAGAATCCTCTGTAATTGTCTCTTTCATCCATGAAGGAGGTAGTCCAAAGTAGGGATGACAGGCAGGCAGATGATCCAGCAAAGACAGTTCCACATCTGGAAATTCAGAGTGGAACAAAATAGAGTCGTGTTTTGGATTCTTTTAAAATCTTAATGATTTGATTGCCTTCTTGGTTAGGCTGAGTGCATAACTCCAGCAACTGAAAACAGATTTCTAAGTATTTGACATTCAATAGGTAGGATTTGTTAAAAACTAGGAGAAGGCTTGTAAAGATCAGATCACTTATTCTTAAAGGAAGTCTCCATTTCTAAGTGACATCATTCATCATTGTCTTCTGAATAAAGCCCTAAAAGAGGAAGTCAACTCATTCAGTTACCTAGAAGTAAATTCTATAAGCAGCCTGTCTTAGAGCAGTTGTGCTCAAACTATAGTTCACATCAGAATCACTTGGGAGGTTTGTTAAAACACAAGAACTCCTAGAGTTTTGTTTAAGTAGTTCTGGAGAAGGCCAGATAACTGCATTTCCAAAAATTATGAAGTGACGTTGACGCTACTGGTCTGGAACTACAGTTTGAAAACCACTGCCTTAGCAAATACATAGGAAATTATGTTGCTTAGCATAATTAGTCCTTTGCCAAGACTTAAATCTTCTCTAACCTAAAATAACTGATGTCAAAGTTATAAAACTTTGAGGTCTCAAGAATTAATTTATGAACTGGAATGTAATCAAAACTTGCTTTTCTAAAAATAAATTTTGAGCCACACTTATAGTATTCCTTTGGTTCATTCTCTAGTAATAAATTTGTCAGGTATCCATAACAAGAATCATTGGCATTGCTTCTCAGGAACTTATTTTTATTGTATGAACAATGTAAATCATATGAGTGATCCAGTTTCTCTTTCTGCCTTTGAGGTTTGTGAGGAAGCTCACAGTCAGAATATAAGCCCCACATGTAGCCGGCATATAGGATCTCACACTATGCATTTTGTTCACAAGCTTTACTTCTGGTATTACCTTGTTGTGTCTTGACTTCATTTTCCCTTGATACTCATTTCTTCATTGACAATAGTATTATATGTATTTTAAAAATCACCTACATTCCTTCCTGAAGTACAGTGGGATATAAACAAACAAATGAAACAAATGTGTTATGCTATGTTTATGAAAGCTTTAATATCCTATTTTATCAGGACTTAATGCCTTGATTTTTGGATTATACAAAATGAATAAATGAAAGATTAGGCATAGCAGATGCCACAAAAGATTATACCTATTTAGCCCTAGACAGATATATTTTTAAAAGTACCTGGAAAGGCATAGAAATCAGTTCTAATATCAAGCTCAAAAGGTTAGAGATGTATCTGAAATGTTGTATCATTACAAATCCATTTTCTATGAAATTCACCGATCTATTTGAAGTTATTCATATTTTCATTTTAGAGGAAAATTTCTAGAAGTTTAGGGCCTGCAAAGCAAAGGCAAGACTATTTTTTGTTAGTCTTAAATTTACCTTTCTCTAGACTTTAGGCCCGTGCCATTTCCAGGACAACAGAACGCTGTGATGAACAATCCTGTATTCACCACATCGGTCAATATTCATGTAATTTGGAAAAGAGACTGCTGGTTTGGAACATGATGCTGATGTAAGAATATCTGTCTCCTCTAGGTCATATAACAGAGAAACTAAAAACATATGCTGCCTACAGTATACACATATCCAGCATAGTCAGTTATGCTTTACTTAATAAATATTATTTTTACTGAAGAATGAGATATAATTGAAAGAAACTGAAGTTTCAGAAGGTAAGGATAAAATAGACCCAAGTATAGAAAAATCCAAACAGCTTTTCTCTAGTACACAGATAAAAGACCACAGATATAATATGACTGTAATTATGAGAGTACATAATAACTAAATGTTACGAATAAGCTTTGCTTTTTCATCTTTTTGTTAAATCTTAAATAGGTACATTAGAGCAAAGTCTTTTCATGACTTTGGGAATGAATAATATGATAAGCCTAAAAATGTTTTGAAAATATAAAGGCAATGAAGAGCACAAACAATAAAAAGAATATTTTTTTTCCTATCTTGGAAGACTTCATACCTCAATTTATTACCAAAAAGTGGTTCAAAAAGATTCTCACTAAAAAACTTGTTGAATTCCTTACAACACCTCATGAGTATGTATTTTGTTTCAAAAACATTAAAAATCAGATCGAATTAAAATACTATAAACAAAAAACTCTATATGTAGGAAAACCATAAGATGAAAATAGAAGTTCTTCCTATACATTTTAAAGGGTGTTAGGGCCTTTGTAGGTTTTATAAAATGAAAACTTCTAAAAGATTTGTTCTTCAGATCATTTAAGAGTTCCATTTCCTTAACCTCCTATATTATACAATGATTTTTTTTCAAAAATTAAGGCGAATCTCGACCTAAAAGTTGGTATACAAACACATTATAAATTTTAGCATTTAATAATATCATGGGGCCATTGCATTATATGTTCGTTTCTGACTAATCTGCCTTCAGCAGTTTGAGAATCTAACGGTTTCATATGATTGATTATTTCACAACTTTTAAAAAGAAAAATGTCTTGCCTTTGCATGGTAATCTTGTTCCAGTCTGGGATCTGATCCGGCTACCTGTTTGTATTTGTTAATTTTCATTTGGCGATTTCTCTCCTCTATATCCATAGCACCTATCGAGTAGAAAAAAATCCATAAAATTAATGTTCAGTTCTTATTTCTAAGCCCTACTTACAGGATGTACAAAAAAAAAAATGCTAGGCTGATATACTACTTTCACTCAAGGTAGTAGTACAAATTAAATGTCATATTATTTTTAAGATTTATTTAAGTATGCAATTTGGTAAATAAAAGCATGATTATTAAATATGTAAAATAATTAAATCTGAATAAGGTGTAAAAAATTTTAAACAGAAGAGAACATATCTTCATTAGATAGATAATACTTTTTGGTAAATGTATGTCCAGGAGAATATATTCGACAGCATATAAATATGACAACAGTAATATTATAAGAATTTTGGTCTGTAATTAATGCATCAAGATTGAAATTATTTACTGGAAAGAAGTTGCAAGTATAATAGTTTCAAACACGATTGTACAATTGCATTTTAAGTTATCAAAAAATCAGCCCACGTATCAAAGCAGGTTGTTCCAGCATCCATGTGAATGTAGCTATCAAGATCTTTTGAACATGGATTTTCTAGAACTAGGATCAAGAAAGAGGCACTTGGAGTAATACTCTTGAAAACAAACCATGCCGATAAAGGCACAAAGTATTACTGAAATCATTTCAGGGGAAAAAAGAATGTGAGGAGAAAAATTGAGATGGTAAGTTTATTACAAGATGAGACAAATGCTGTCTGTAAAGGTGCTTCCTCAAAACACATCAACTATAGTTATCAAGAGGGTTTTTAAAAACTTTGGTTAGAATAAGAACTAAATTCAGTGAACAAATCTTAGTAAACATGAAAAAGCAAACGTGAGAAATGAAAAAACATTTCACATTAATATGCATAATGGAAAAACAAAATCTCAATTTGTATGCTACAAATCTACAAACTGGGAAAAATAATCATAGTTTAGTAGGTTCAAGCGGTTTTCTCCAAAAAAAAGTTGCCACGTAAATTCACAAACACTGAGTCTAGGTAAGATTGTGAACATACACACACATGTACTCCTTGCTTAAGATCATAACTTTAAAACTGTAGTAAAGGCATATGGACCATAGGTGTGACTATTCAAAAATAGGCATTTTAATACTCATCCTGGAAAAAACCTCACCGTATATTTGATAATTGCAAGCAAAATTTTTAAGTAAAAATTGATAACTAAACTAATATACCAAGGGAAGAAAATGTTTCAAAAAGGATTAAGAAAATCTTGACTAAAAGAATATACAGAGTTCAGATTACATGACCTCTAAGTAAAAGTGCAAATTTAAATCATCTAATCAGTTTGAGTTAAGTTTTAATAATGATATGAGTTATTCTGTGCCAAATTATAAAATGGGGAATAGAAATATATTTATATAAATTGAATGATACACAAAATCAAGTGAGTGCTTCCATGATATGTGTTAAATATGGTCAGGTATAAATGTCTATTATTTATTAAAATACAATATTGGAGTTGTTTGTACCTCAAGAGATATTCTCAGATACATATGTTTATTTCTCCAAGGTCAAGGGAATGAAAAAGCTTCAAAAAGTTGTGTGCTAAAAAAATACTAGCTAAAGTAAGTATTTGGGAAGGTTCTTTGAAGTTTTTTGACATTATAATGGCAAAATAGTATTTTAAATATAAATAGCAACAATAGACAAGGTTTAAACACATTTTATGCACATATATGTAAATATATATACACACATACATATATACACATACACATATACATATATGCATTTTCTAATATCGAGACTATTTCCTGGACATCAACCTCCTATGACACTACATTAAATTCTTCCTGATTACTGGATAATTATGGGATATACATTGGCAGGTGTTGGGAAGCTTTTTCTGTAAAGAGCTCAACAGTAAACATCTTAGACTTTGCAGACCATGAGGTCTCTGCTGCACCTCTGCCATTGTAATATGAATGCAGATTTAGACAACATATATATTTTATGTACACAAAATGTACATGTGTATTCCAATAAAACTTTATTTACAAAATAGGCAATGGGCTGAATTTGGTTCATGGCCACAGCTTGCTGAACCCTGCATTGAAGCATTTTGGTAATTTTGCAATGAAGAACTTTTTTCCTTAGTAATGGTTTGAAGGTTTTGTAGAATCAGGTTTATGGAACATCATATACATTTAACACATCACTGATGGGAAGCTAAGAAGGATATTAATCTGTTTTGCTAAAAGAAAACAAAGATGCAAATAGAGTAATACAACATTTAAATATATCAACTGAATTCCGATCTCAAACAAATCTTTCTAAACTCAATCATCATCTGTATAGTCCTTAAATTGGAAAAATTCATTAGGTTCTTTTTCCTTTTATTCCTTTTTTTTTTTTTTTGGCTAGGCTCTGGTATTTATTTATTTACATAATTTGTTTATTTTTACTTTGTTAGAGTCTTAACCAATGAAATCTCAAGAACCATCTTAGTGAATATACAGTAAACAAACTTGGGTAAATATACTTTTAAAATTCTCCCAGGAACCTAATCTGTAAGAAAAACAGTGCCTCTCTCCAATAGTATTTTAAGTCTTCCACTTCTTTTGTACATTTTTTATCAAGCTGTTTTCTTAAAGAAAACACTCCACAGATAATAATATCCTTTGAGAAGAAAGTATCCTGAATACAGAGAACTACTATAAGGGATTCTTCACCAGCAAGATAATTTTTTGTTGTTGTTCATTTTCGCTATGGAAAATAATCCAGAAATCATATTTTCAATACCAGTATTTCTTTCAGTCAAACTCAGTAATTTTTATTTTTCCCATAAATGAAAAACCAAATGGAGGAATCTATGCAAGTAGAGGAATTCTCAGCTGGTGCTAGTGGTAAAGAATCCATTTGCCAATGCAGGAGACATAAGAGACACTGGTTTGATCTCTGGATTGGGAAGATCCTCTGGAGAGGGCATGGCAACCCACTCCAGTATTTTTGCCTGGAGAATCCCACATACAGAGCAACCTGGCAGGCTACAGTCCATGAGACTGTGAAGAGTCAGACATGACTGAAGCAACTTAGCACACATGCAAGTAGAAGAGTTGCTTGCTATCTGGTTAGGGAATAGAATATGTAATTTCTCAGCTTTAACTCTAACGTCCAAGGCTGGACTCTCCAAAGAAAAGTAAGTTAAAGTGATGAGGCAGATTTTTCTCCAATTCTTTTCTCTCCTTCAAATCTACCCTAAAATTTGCATATACAAGGTCCTGAATATTCTGTAATAATGACTAATCATTTGATTGCAGATAGCTCACTTCCCCATCTATTATCAAGTAATATCTTGCTGAAATAGTTTCAAAAATACATTTTGGGAAAGGCTTGTTCATAAGTTTAGAAGGTAAATTTATCTAGTGATCATTGAGTCATATTCTTATATGTAATGACACTATGCTTATTTACAGAAGACATCTTAGTGGTTTGATATGATTTTGTAATTTGAGTACACTAAAAAACTTAGTCATTATAATGTTCAATATCAAATCAAATATCAATATATTTTCAAATTATAACAAAAGTAGATTAAAAGATTAATAAGATTATCAGTCTTCCTGGACAAACCCAATTCAACAAAAGTTTGCATATGTTTCTATTTCTTAAAAGTTATTAAAGACATTACACTGTAATATTTAAATTGTCTCAAATTCTTGGTATAAATTATTAAGTACACTAAGAAAATATTTCTTGTTTCAATGCCTTAATAATATAATCCATCTAAGAAGTGTACTTATTCTTAAACCAATAAATAATTGTTGCGGTTACTTTTAACTTAAAAAGACTGTATTTGCCCAAAAAGTTAAAAAGTCATATTTATAATACTGGTAGGGCAATTAAGTTTAAAAAGTTAAAGTTATAGGTGGATTTAGTAATCATAGATGTATTGAATATGACCAGATTAACCAGCAGCAAGACAGTGGTAGCTTAGGTTTCTACATTTACAGTACCTCTTCAGTGATTTCTGTAGTGCAGTGCAAACAATAGTTTTAAGTTTGCTTTTCTAAGTGTGTGCGTGCATGCACACACACACACACACACACAAACAGCTGTTGGTGTCCCAAAGCAGCCTCACAATCATACTTCTTTGAAGTAAGGACACTTTGAAGTCTGGCAATAATGCAATTCATAATTAAGCTAAGTAGTGGTCAGCAAATTGCAGGACTGCTGACTCGGGCACCCATCATGTATTCTTAAATAAAATACTTAAATCTGGGGATCTTAAGAGGGAAAACTCTTTTAAGTCCAACAGCAAAGCTCAAAGAAAGAAAAACCCAGAAAATAAATTAGAGAACCTATGATTACAGCATCATGGAAGTCTGTGCTGTGCTGTGTCAAGTCACTTCAGTTCTGTCTGACTCTTTGTGACCCTATGGACTATAGCCTGCCAGGCTCCTCTGCCCATGGAATTCTCCAGGCAAGAATACTGGAGTGGGTTGCCATGTCCTCCTCCAGGGGATCTTCTGACCCAGGGATTGAACGTGAATCTCTTATGTATCCTGCACTGGCAGGCAGGTTCTTTTTTTTTTTAATTTTCAATTCATATTTTATTATGGGGCATTAAAATCTGGTTAGGAATAAATGAAATCAACAAGGAAGAAGGGAAGCAAAAAAATGAAATACAAACAGAAGCAAATAAGGGCAGGCAGGTTCTTCACCACTAGCTCCACCTGGAAAGCCCCGTGGAGGCCAGAGACCATTTAGATACCAACAGTGTGGAAGAGGAACAGGACAGAAGTAGGTTACAGACAATGATGACAGTGATAGAAATTACATTTCGAATGAACAAAGTTAAAAAGGCCAAATTCATGGACTCTCTAAACGCTGCAATTACCATTTAGACATGTACCAAATTAAGAGCAATAAAAAAAGATATAATCAGCGCATGCAGCTGTTTTATCACTCTGAGGTAACGACGACACAAGAAAAAGCACAGCCATTTGCGTATTTATTTTCTAGATTCAGTAGGTAGACTATAAAAACAACCTACTGAT